CATACCGATGGACAAAGGGAATTGTATACGGGATTGATTGAATCCCCGACATCGTGGTTCATCCGATGAGATCATCGTGGAACATGTGGGAGCCAATATGGGTATCCAGATCCCTCTATTGGTAATTGGCCGGAGAGATGTCTCGGTTATGTTTGCATGGTTCCCGAACCTGTAGGGTCTACACACTTAAGGTTCGGTGACGCTAGAGTTGTAATGGGAAATTGTATGAGGTTACCGAAAGTTGTTCGGAGTCCCGGATGAGATCCCGGATGTCACGAGGAGTTCCGGAATGGTCCGGAGGTGAAGATTTATATATGGGAAGTCTAGTTTCAGTCACCGGAAAGGTTTTGGGCGTTATCGGTATTGTACCTAGACCACAAAAAGGTGTCCGGGGGTCCACTGGGTGGGGCCACCTACCCTGGGGGACCAAGTGGGCTGAATATGGGTGGGAACTAGCCCCGTAGTGGGCTGGTGCGCCCCCCAAGGGCCCAAGGCGCCTAGGGTTGGAAACCCTAGGGGGTGGGGCGCCTCCCACCAACTTGGGGGGGGGGGGCAAGCCTCCCCCCTTTGGCCGCCGCCCCCTCTAGATGCAACTAGGGGGGCCGGCCCCCTCTCCCCTTCACCCTATAAATAGAGGGGGGTAGGACGGAAGCCACGCCTCTTCCCATGGCACAGCCCTTCCCCCTCATACACCTCTTCCTCCTCCGTTGAGTTGGCGAAGCTCTGCCAGAGAACCATGAGCTCCACCACGACATCGTCGTGCTGCCGGAGTTATCCCTCAACTTCTCCTCTCCCCTTGCTGGATCAAGAAGAAGGAGACGTCCCCGGGCTGTACGTGTGTTGAACGCGGAGGCGCCGTCCATTCAACGCTTGGATCGGATCTTTCGTGATTTGAATCGTCGCGAGTACGACTCCATCAACCGTGTTCTTGTAACGCTTCCGCTTAGCGATCTTCAAGGGTATGAAGATGCACTTCCTCTCTCTTATTGCTAGCATCTCCTAGATTGATCTTGGTTACACATATGAATTTTTTTGAATTGTTACTATGTTCCCCAACACTACTTCCTAGACACATTGCTGGATCAAGAGGACGAGGGACGTCATCGAGTTGAATCTGTGCAGAACTCGGAGGTGCCGTACGTTTGGTACTTGATTGGTCGGAGCTAGAAGAAGTTCGACTACATCAACCGAGTTGTCAAACGCTTCCGCTTATGGACTACGAGGGTACATAGACACACACTCTCCCCCTGTTGCTATGCATCTCCTAGATACATCTTGCGTGAGCATAGGAATTTTTTTAAAATTGCATGCTACGTTCCCCAACACCGCATACCCCAAGGTGACAATAATTGGGATTTTTCTGGTGATTATCGTAGTTTGAGGAGTTCATGTATTCACTAAGTGCTAATACTTTGTTCCGGTTCTCTAGTAAAAGGAGGCCTTAATATCCCTTAGTTTCTTTATGGACCCCGCTGCCATCGGAGGATAGGATAAAAGATACATGCAAGTTCTTTTCCATAAGCACGTATGACTATATAAGGAATACATGCCTACATTACATTGATGAATTGGAGGTAGTTCCGTGTCGCCCTAGGTTATGACTGCTACATGGTGAATATTATCCAACACAATTATCCATCGATGATCCAATGCCTACGGGTTTTCGCATATTGATCTTTGCTAAGTTACTTTCGTTGCTGCAACTGTTACAATCACTACAAAACTGCTACTGTCACTATTGCCACTTTTACCTGTTACTATCATACTACTTTGGGAGGCTACTAAATACTTTGCTACAGATATTAAGTCTTTCAGGTGTGATTGAATTGACAACTCAACTGCTAATAGTTGTGAATATCCTGGCTCCCCTTGTGTCAAATCAATAAATTTGGGTTGGCTACTCTACCCTCGAAAACTATTGTGATCCCCTATACTTGTGGGTTATCAGGCGGCGGTGGCAGGGGCTAGGATTAGCTCCCCCGGTCGCCCCTGGAGCAGGCGGCACGAGAGATGCGACTCTCCTGATTAGTTTTGTCAGGGGTCCCTTACTTTTGTTTATATATTCTAAAACTTTAAATACATATAGTCCAAAATTTAATTTACTTAAAAAAATCTTGAATTTGGAAAATGATAATGAACTTAAAAAAATTCTTAGCGTATTTAAAATGTTTATACCTTTCAGAAAAATTGTTTATGACATTTAGAAATGTTCACGTGTTTCAGAAAAATGTACATAACATTTTTTAGAAAATATTTATTAAATGTAAAATTATTTTTCTGTTATTAAAAAGTTGTACCATTCAAAAATTGTACGTTACATTTAGAAAAAAAATCATGCATTTCAAAAAATATTTTCCTCATAATTAAGAATATATTTATACAATATAAAATAATGTCCATGTGGTTTAAAAACATTGTTTTGTTCATTAGAAAAATGTCTCGACGTGTGTTTAAAAAAATGTTTAACGGTATTCAAAAAATTATCAAAGCATGTGTTCAGAAAAAAGTTAAACATGTATAAATGTTTTCGTGCGCATACAAAAAATGTACAATGTCTATTAAAAACAGTACACATCAGAACATATGTTTTAAAAAGTTAAACATGTATACAAATGTTTCATATGTACAAAAAATTTAAAATATATGAAACAGATGTAGACATCGAAACATATATTTGAAACAAACATTACCATATATTTGGAAAAATGGTAAGTGTGTATAAAATTGCGAGAAACTTCTGATCTATTTATCTTCAATCATGATAGTACAACGAACACTACAAATAACAAAAATTACATCCAGATCCGTAGACCACCTAGCGACGACTACAAGTACTGAAGCAAGCTGAAGGCACACCGCCGTCATTGCCCTCCCTCATCGGAGCCGAACAAAACTTGTTGTAATAGACAATCGGGAGGTCGTCATACTAAGCCCCCATAGGACAAATGTATATAAAAATGTACAAAAAAAGTAGACATATGTTTAAAACAATAAAAACCAGAAAAATAAAACCATGAAGAAAATCAAAAAATTAAAACCCCAAACAAAAACGGTTGAAACCCAAAAAACAAAGAGGAAAATTGTGTAACCAAACAAACAGTTCACATTTGGACCGCTGCATCAAATTGTTCCCTTTATAGCATGGCCCTCAAAAAAGGTAAAAATAGTATAGTCAGCAGGTGGTTATATGATGTTGATATATCATTTGTAGTAAAATTATAACCTATAAGTATGATAATTAGATATAAAATGTACCACTTTATTGATACATGATCAACCTCACTTTCTCTACTCGCAAGGCGACTAGAGAAAGTCTTCCTCCCCTTGATCTTCACCGGCAAGGTTGTGGATTCGCCTCCCTTCCGCCTGCCGGTGGCGGAGAGAGGTTTTCTGGTGCCTTATCTCCGGCTAGTAGATAGGTAGGGTTTTAGTTCTTGCAGGGGCGGCGTATGGATGGATGGCGGTGCTTCTTCTTCGAGTCAGTCTTCCGAGCTCCTATCCTCCTCAAGTTTGTTCGTTGGGATGGATTAGACAGAGCTCCGGCGTAGATTCATGCCAGCTCCTCAGAGCAGCGAGATTAGAGTTTCTCGCCGTGCATACGCAACGGTGATATTTGGTGTCAAATTCTTCAAATCGATTTAAGGATTCAACGGCGACGACTGCGGCTCCGGGACGCTTGTCCTTAGGGGCACGTGCACGAAGACTTTCCGGCCGTCATTGACAAGGTCGGGCCGGCTCCGGTATCGAAGTGGCGACGTCAGCGGCTCGTTTTGGCGGTGGCAATGGTCGTTCGATGGTCCATGGACCTCGATGTAATTTTTACTATGTTTGATGTGTTTTGTACTTTCGGTGGATCTTTATAATAAATTTGATTTTTTTCGCAAAAAAACCCTCACTTTCTCTAAAGTGTCTACAAAACGTGTTGAGGCTGGCTGTTAATCTCTAGCCTACTTCTCTTCTTTCCCCTCTTCTTTCTTCTTGCAAAAAGATATCCACTATTCCTAAATAGATACAACCCACTATCTATTTTTCTAGTCATGCAACCTTGTCACATAAAGGAAGTACCGCATTTAAGTTAGAGGTTACAGTTCTTTGCATTAGTCTACTCCTGTGCTCTCCCACATCATCAATTCATACATGTTAGCTACAACCCACTACCTATTTTTCTTTAGCCATGCAGCTATGCACATAAGCAAATCATCCATTTTAGTTATAAGTTTTTTTTTGCCTTAGCCTATGCATGGAGTGCCCCCATATCATAAATTCATGCATATTAATCATAAGTTATTTTTCATAGTCTACTAGTAGTGATAGTATTATATCTAGTATTATACATGTCAACTAGTCAAATTTGTGTCTTTGGTTGGGTGGTTAGAGAGACAGTGGTATCCACTGCCCATCAGGGTTCAAGTCCTGGTGCTCGCATTATTCTTGGATTTATTTCAGGACGTGTGTGCGTTCATAGAGGTGATTGTATGCGCGTATGTATGAGTTCATTAATTTTAGCAATCACTGAAATATTTACCTTCTAGCCAAAAAAATCAGCAATTTCACTAGTACACATGAATTTAAATATTTTTCAAAAATATCAAATATGCAATTGAATTTAAGTGAATATTCAGCCTTTTGGCCAAAACGCAAACTGAAATTATTGAATTTCACTGAATTTTGATGATTTGGGTGGTGCTGAAATTTTTCTGAAACTGGAAGTGAATACTTTGCCCACGCACCACTCAAAAAGAAAAGTTGCCACATGTGGCCATTTCTAGAGCGGCAATGCTACACGTACAAACGATTTACAGGCTTTTACAGGATGTTTAATTTTGATTGGTCAATAGGTGAGTGGGGCGGCCCACCTCCTAAAAATCAGGGGAGGAGAGGTTTGTGATTGGTTGTTAGATAGAGGGAGCGTGTAAAAGCGTGTAAGTTTTTTGTATGTCTAGCATTTTTGTTTCTAGAGTACATCCCCGTCTCCTCCGTGGTCTCGGGCGGCGCTGTTGATGAACCCCCGCCATGTCCTCGAGCTCCTGCACCAGTGCCGCTCCATCCGACACCTCGACCAGCTACAGGCCCACCTCCTCGCCCACGGCCCATCCGCCGTGGCCTCCCTCGCCTCCCAGCTCGTCGCCTCCTACTGCGCGCTCTCCGGTGCCGCCGGACACGCGGGACTCTGCCACGCCCGCCGCGTGTTCGACACAATTGCCGACCCGTACAGGTTCGCGTACAACAGTCTTATCAGGGCGTACTCCAACAGCTGTTGCCCCCAGGAGGCGCTGTGCCTGCACCGCGACGTCCTCCGGCGCGGCATCCTGCCGAACGAGTTCACACTGCCCTTCGTGCTCAAGGCGTGCGCCAGGGCGCGGGCCACAGAGCACGCGCTAGCCACCCATGGAGTGGCTGTCAAGCTGGGGTATGTGCGGCAGGTGTTCGTGGGCAACGCGCTCCTGCACTCATATGCGTCGACTGGGTTGCTGCGGGACTCTCAGCGGTTCTTTGCCGAGATGGCGCCGGGCAGGAATGTTGTGTCGTGGAACACGATGATTGGTGGATATGCACAGGCTGGGGAGACCAGCAAGGCGTGCGCCTTGTTTGGAGAGATGAGGCGCCAAGGAGTGTTGGCTGATGTGTTCACATTTGTCAGCCTGCTTCTCGTTTGCTCAACTGAGGGAAATCTTGAGGTTGGTCGGCTGGTGCATTGTCATATGTTGGCAAGTGGATCCCGGGTTGATCTGATTCTCGGTAACGCACTTGTGGACATGTATGGTAAGTGCGGGGATCTGTGGATGGCTCGTAGATGCTTTGACATGATGCCCACGAAAAATGTTGTTTCATGGACTTCCATGCTTTGTGCCCTGGCAAAACATGGCTCGGTGGATGCTGCAAGAGATTGGTTTGAGCAGATGCCCGAGAGGAACATAGTCTCCTGGAATGCCATGATCTCTTGCTATGTTCAGGGTGGCCGATTCCGTGAAACTTTGGGTCTTTATAACCGTATGAAATCTCTAGATCTCACTCCAGATGAGGTTACCTTGGCTGGTGTCCTCTCTGCCCATGGACAAAATGGCGATTTGGCCTCTGGAAGGATGATACATTGTTATATTAAAGACAATTTTAGTGATCCTGGTGTCACTCTACTTAATTCACTTCTTGATATGTATGCAAGATGTGGTCAGGTAGACACATCCATAAGCTTGTTCACTGAGATGCCCAATAAAAACACTATCTCTTGGAATGTGATTATTGGAGCGCTAGCCATGCATGGGCGTGCACAAGAGGCAGTCATGTTCTTCAGAGCTATGGTATCTGATGCCTTCTCCCCTGATGAGATCACATTTGTCGGTCTTCTTTCTGCATGCAGTCATGGTGGTCTACTAGAAGATGGACAGTATTACTTCAAAGCCATGAGACATGTTTACAATGTTAAGCCTGAAGTTGAGCACTATGCTTGCATGGTTGATCTGCTTGGTCGGCGTGGCCATCTTGCACAAGCTGTTGATCTAATAAAAGATATGCCAATGAAGCCTGACGTTGTGGTTTGGGGTGCATTACTTGGAGCCTGCAGGATCCATGGTAATGTAGAGATCGGCAAGCTAGTGATCAAACAACTGCTTGAGCTGGAGGGAATTAATGGAGGCTTGTTTGTCCTATTTTCTAATTTGCTGTATGAAACTCACCAGTGGGAGGACATGAAAAGGCTCAGGAAGCTAATGAGAGAGCGGGGAACAAAAAAGGATATGGGTGTTAGTTCAATTGAAGTAAACAACAGCATACATGAATTTGGAGTGGAAGACATCAGACATGAAACCTCAAGTGAGATATATGCGGCAGTTGATCAGTTGGCATATCATTTAGTCTCTTTGCATGTCCTGGCTGTGCAGCCAGTAGAACTCATCATGGAAGAGTGAAATAAGCTATTTAGGAGTGCTCCCATAGCCAATCTGAACCTGATGCGGAGCATGGGCTGCAAAGGGATATATTCATATCAAGTAGCCTGTCTGATGAAACCTGAAGGTAGGTGTACAGAAGCACCCCTGAAATACTGAAAGTATGCTTAGTTTCATTTGAATTTTGAACATTGTATAATATAATTTCAGGCATTTAATTTATTCTCGCATTTCAATACTGGAAATTCGAGCTTCCTTTGATGTAAACCTGCATTTTTCCTGCTAATTGATTTAGTTTCAGGCTTTCTGCAGATACGACGGTTCACTGGGGCAACCAACTCAACCAACTGTATAGACAGTTAGGTCAGTGGCACTACACCGACAACACTCAGGATTCTCTGCCTTGGCTGTGATGTCTCACCAATATCTGGAGAAACTAAAGCTCAGAAACAGTAAGTTCATCAGACCGGCAGGACCACCTGAGAGCATCCTGACTGCTAATCACCTGTAAGGAACCAAGTTGTTCTTAGCTTTACTGGGGATTGAACTGTATACATACAACAGTTTTCTTGTACTTTTACCTGGCCAGCAGTTTGACTGTGCCATGATCATGACAGAAAGTTAACCGTCACATATGAACTCACCAAAGAAAGAGGTATTTGTATTTTTGGCAGAAAATAAATGTTCGATTGATCAGCTGGAAATTGGGATTGGTGATCTTTTTGACGGGATTATGCTAGGCAGGCTATGCACCCTGCATCTGATACACTCCTTGGAGCCCAAATCCTATTCAGCTGATATATATTCATGTAGGGCCTTTATGGTTGTTTTAACCCAATTAGAAAAATTTCATATTAGCCCGTAATTCAGAATGCTCTTCTAAAAATAGCTAACAAAGTGCAAAACCTTTACCCAACCAGAACTGGTGCACATGTTCAAGTTTCAGGCTATCCAGGATCCAGATACTTCTCAAGGGTCCTTGCTAGGACCTGCTATCGGAACTACTAACCGAAGAAAGTGCACCACCGGCATGTAACTATTGGTAAAGCATTTGAATCATGTTTTCTTACATGATAGGATCAACTGTGTATTTTATGGTCCCAAGTCACTGTAGTCAGTAGTATAATCCAGTGAAGCCAATTTCCTATTTTTGGTTTTACTGTTTGTTGCTTCATTTCCTGAAGCTAACAATGTGATTGTTCACACTAAGATGCTGCGTGAACTCACAAGTGTTAACTGCGATGTTTACGGAATGAATTACTTCCTGGGGATGGACTTGTCTAAGAAAGATGATGTGCTCAATGATCTCTAGATTCTCCCCACTTCTGGGTACAGTACTGGGCTTGTTTTGCAGTCAGAGCTTGAGTTCCTGTTACAAACCATGAAGAAGCCTCTTGAAGCAACCGTGGAATATTGAAGGCACTGCAGCTATTCTTTGGAGAGGAGGATAAAGCCACTGTTTTGGGTAATTAAGTGTAGAATCATATACCGCAATCTGACAGGCATGTTTGCATAAAACAATGAGCTTTTTGCTGAAGTGTACTTGATTGACTTATAATCCAGCAAAGGTGGTTAATTGACTTACATAAAGAGCTAACCATGTTGCCATGCCTGATTATGCTCCCTCCGTCCGAAAATACTTGTCATCAAAATGGACAAAAAGAGATGTATCTAAAACTAAAATACATCTAAATACATCCCCTTTTATTCATTTTGATGACAAGTATTTCCGGACGGAGGGAGTACATATTTATGCTTCCATCTGGGGAGGCTGTTTTGTGAGATGAGAAGCCACTTCTCCGGCGTTGAGCATTCAGAAGGCAATACACTGTTTAGGTTTACCGCTGGAAACCAGAACATAAAGATTTTTCATGGTCTTAACTCACTGTTAGAATACCAGTTTGTGGTAATAGGGGAATACTTTAAGAACTGAGATCACGCAAAAGTTTTCTGTAGTACTAGCTACGTCCGGAAATACTTGTCGAAGAAATGGATGTATCTAGACGTATTTTAGTTCTAAATACATCCATTTTTATGCATTTCTGTGACAAGTATTTCCGGACGGAGGGAGTACTACTCATGGCTGATTTTTCATGCTGCAGGAGTTCCAGCATGTTGCCAGGGTTCTGCATATATGCCAAGGTCAAGATTTTAGGATTAGGACACTTGAATGTGGATGCCTTTTTCTCAACAAGGTCTATTTTGGGTGGTATGTAGTCAAGAAAAGCCAACTCGATGTATATGTTGATATGTTTTCACAAATTTTTTCAGGTTTAGTCCAAGCTGCTGCGGCATGAAGAGAAGTCGATCTGTTATCCTAACTTGCACAATTTTTTTTTGAGGCAATCCTGACTGGCATAGTTGCAGTAGTACAACCTTCGACCCTTCTACCACAGAGCAAATACAGCAACTAAAAGAATGATCAGTTCCAATAATAATGTAAGGAAAACAAGATCCAGCTACAACTTCATAACCAAATATAATTACTATACTACTTGACATCATTCTTCAACAGCATGATCGACTGCGCAAGACTGCAGAAACATGGGAGAGTAGACTTGCCAATCATAGGGTAGGATCATTTTGACTTGATCTAGCCCCCAGGCGGCCTCCTCACTCTAGCGTGGGGCTCGACGAGGCTAGTGGAGTAGTGCTTCTCCGGGCCTAGGTTTCACGACGACAACCCTAGATCCAGAGGGTCGGGCCTCTAGACCTGGCGTGGCAAGCACGTGAGCGGCGCAGTGCGACCCTATGGGGGCGTGGCTGCAGCTACTTAGCTGTGCCCCAGCGGATCCGGGTGGCGGAGGCTGCGTGCCGGCACGGCATCAGCAAGGTGTAGGTGGCATGTCCCCGTGACGGCGCCACTAGCCCTGCTCGACGTATCTCCCTGCAGTGGTTGACCTTGTTTGACAGCCATTCGGCGGCTGTTGCACTGTGTTGGCCTATGCTTCCCTACATCGACGATGAGGATACGTGGTTTCCCTCTTGGTGCTGCTGGTCTTTTCCGATGCTCTGCTTCCCCATCTCCTGTTTGCCCTACTTCGGCGGTCTTTGGGGGTTTATGGTCTTGGGCCGGAGCGAAATCCCCACACGGCGATGGCCAGACAATGGCGATACTTGAGAGTGTCGTTACCTCCATGGAGGCGCTGTCATGGCCCCGACTGGACCCTCTCCTCGAGTACCGGGGAAACCCTTGGTTCAGTTCACTTGACAAGGCAGCGGTGGTGTCTCAGCGTCATTCCCTTCTTGAAAGCGCTGCTTGGGTCGCACTTGGAGTCCCCGATGCGGCAACTAGAGATGGTGGCCTCGGTATTTACGGCGAGGCTTGCTAGCGATGCGATGCTATGATGTGGGCGTCCAGGGTGCAAGACGCCGGCATGTCCAAGACGATGGCTTCACTAGTTCTGGCTGGGTCCTGCCATCCACCTGCCGACTCCTAGGCACATATGGGTGGAAGGTACATTGGCCTAGACAACCCTGGAGATGTGCTCTTCTTTGGAGGCGCCTGGCAACGGATGTGGTGCAGCCTTGAGGCTCTGAGTCTAGCTACGTCGCCATTCATGGTTGGACACTGGATATGGCGAGACCTTTCATCATTGGGGTCTCTAGTTGGTGGCACCTCCTAACCTACTCGTTTGGTGAGGACAATGGTGTGTGTGCGTGTCCCTCCTCGTGGAAGGTTGTACCCGTACTGTTGTTCTCTTCCTGTTCAATGAAATGAAACGCAAACTCTTTTGCGTTTTCTTGAAAAAAGGACTTGCCCTTGATTTATTTTTCAACTGCAGAGTGCTCTATGCATGTTTATTTGAAGCATTTGGCATTGGGAGCTGTCGTGGTTCTAAGACTGACAGTAGAAAGGGGGGTAGGTATGGAGAGGCAAGATCTCAGCTATGGTGAAGGTGTACACACGGGGTTTACGAGTTCATGCCCTTCTCGGAGGAAGTAATAGCCCTACGTCTCGGTGCCCAGAGGCGGTCGATTGGATTATATGTGTATGATGTTACAGGGGGTGCGAACCCTTGTGCCAGAGGAGGGGGTGGCTTATATAGAGTACGCCAGGACCCTCACCGTCCTCTGTTACAAGGGACTTAATGTACATAAAGTAGGAGCCTTACTGATAACCCACCCTTAAGTGCTATTAATGACCTTAAAGACTACGGAGTGAACGGCTGCCCGTTGCAATGCTGACTGACTCCTGATCTTCGGTAGGTCGAGTGATTCCTTGGATGGTCGAGTGACAATAGGTAGGAGGACTCCCGAGTGACATGATTGGTCGAGTGGATTGCACTCGACATCTTAGACTGGGGATCCCTTGCTGCCTCTTGGACTTCTTATCTTCTAGGGTAGTGACCTTGGGTAGGACGTATAGGTCAGGCCTATGACCCTACCCCAGGTCTGTATCCTCATCAGTAGCCCCCGAATGGATTAAGGTTCGAGTGGAAAGTAGGTTGAAGTTGAACTTGTTCTGAGCTTTGCACCTTCGTGAGCGTTTTCTGCAAGATGGAAAACTCATGTTGGTACTTCAGCGTCGATTCAGTCGCCTTGATCCATTCAGAGAGTTGTCGACTGAACTTATAGCATCATCTGCCGAGTGCTATATTAGAGTGCAGGATCTTCGGCGCGATTGACTGAAGTGTATCCCGGATTTCACGGGATACAAAATTTCGGGGAAGCGCGCGGGACGGGGAGCGCCGAAGTGGGCGGAGCGGATAAACAGTGATGCCTCGATTTCTGTGCCGCCTTTTTCGCCACGTACGTTGGCGCGACTGTTGCAGGATTTGCCAGGATCGTCTGGTCCCACGCGTCAGCCACTCGGAAGCAACCCTTTATAAGGCGACAGGGCGAGGCGTCTGCACTGTGCACGCATGTTTCTCTTTCTTCTTCGTCCGCTTCTCCACCGCGCCCGGCTCTTCTGCTCTCGATGCTGCCGCTCTGCCACCATGGTGAAGGACAAGACGGCGGCGCTGGAGCGTGCAAAGAAGGCGACGGGGGCGGTGAAGGGCAAGAAGCAGAACCGCGGG